TTTGTCCTCTAACGGGGCAATTGGTTTCACTACTACCGAGTATTCAGCTCCATTACCCACTAAAAAAAAAGACAAGTCTTGGCCCTCTTCCTTCATTTTAACCATGGGCTTATGAGAGCCAAGTGTTGTCAAGCCCGGTCCCCATCAATCACTGTCTTCATCAAAAACAGGGAGCAAAACTCCAGTTTCTGAATCTTTAACTTCCTGGGCCTGTTGTGTTTTCTTGGCGGCTACTTAGGACATTTATTCTTAAAATGTCCCTTTTCCTTACAGTATGCACACTGATCAGTCTCCAGATCCTCTCTCTTAACTCTATCCTTTTCCACATTCATCTGACCTTTCTTTTCCTCTTGCAGTTTCTCTTCGGGCACCTTATTTCCCATGGCTACTGCTATGTGCTTTGTCCTCCTCTTATCTCTCTCATCTTCCCTCTGAAGTCTTTCCTTTTCTCTATTTCTGCTCACATACACTTTCCTAGCCGGCTGCAACAACTGAGTTATATTCATTCCTTCCCAAGTTTCCTGTTTCTGTACTTTCTTTCTGACATCAGCAGCAGATTGAGGTACAAAAGCATTGCTCACTAGTTGTTGATTTTCTGCTGCAGCGGAATCAAAAGGCATATACATTCTATATGCCTCATAGAGTCTCTCATAAAACTTTTCAGGACTTTTCATCTGGTCTTTGTAGGGTTTCCATCAGCTTAATCATGTGGGTGGGCTTTTTGCTAGCAGCTTTAATTCCTGTTAAAAGGGAGGCTCTATAGTTTGCCATATTGCAATTTGGGTGGGCATTCACTTGAAATTGTTGTTCATGCCCTTCATTAGGGTTTTGTGTCCCAGGTAGCATGCAAGAGTCATTTATCTTTTTTTATCTTCCCTATAATCCTTTAAATCTCTTCAGCAGTTAACATCGCCCTACAGAGTCCCTTACAGTCTTCCCAATTGGGACGATGGGTACAAAATATTGATTCAAACAACTGAAACATTTTTGTTGGATCCTCTGTGAGAGGGGAAGTTTCTCTTTTCCAATTAACTGAGTTGGTATCGCTAAAAGGATGGTGTACAAAATGATGTCTTCTGGGTAATCTCACAACGGCATTTGGAGGCTTGGTCCCAGCACTGCTGAACTAGTTCTGTGAGATCTGGGAGTACCATCGAGGGGGAACACAGGCTTTCCTGAACTGTCAAGAGCTGGAGGAGCTTGGGCATTTGCTCTGGGAACCCCTGCCCAATAAGGAGGGGACCATCTAATAGGTCTTCCACATCTTTCTCAGGTCTGGTTGAGTCTTAAGAACAAGCAGCTGGACTACCTTGTTCATAGCACACATCTGGAGCCATGGGGGCATATTTGTACATAAATCTAACCAGGTGTCTATATATGGGTAGTCATTAGTTCGCCCCTGGGTGGTAATCTTGTTCCAAATCAGTCTAACTTTTCTTTTGTCTAGAGTTCCTTCTGGAGGCCAAGAGTGGTTTAATTGAGGCCACAATAACTCACAAAGCTTCCTGAGCATCTTTGGTCTTAACTTTACTCCATAGTCCCCCACAAAGCTTTTATCAAATTTTGAATCATACATTCAAGACAGTTGGTTTAATATTTGTATTTCCCATGATCACTTGATCTTCCCTTGTCTGGTGATGTAGGACAAAGGGTGGGTGCCACTTGGAGAAGAACAGTCATGCGCTCGCCTGTCTGTCAATGGGCCTCTTGAACACTTTAAAGCCCGCCTAAGCTAAGCACACTGTTGTGTTAGTGTCCCATTTTGCTTGTATTAGATACTGGCCAGGTAATCACAAAAACAGACCACACACAAGTTCCTCAACTCAGGGAAGGATCTTTAAGCATAAACGCCCCCTCCCTTTGTCTTGGGGCACAGACCAGACTACTGACACTTTTGTAGCTCGTTCCACTCACTCCTAACCGAGTCTCTTTTACACGCACAATCACCCAAGAAGTTAACACTTTCTCTCTCTAGGCCCCCTTACAAAATACAATAACAAAGTGAGAGTATATGAGAGTATATATATCCCTGAGGCCCAGGCGGGGGCAAACGAAATCCTCACAAATGTCAATGAATGAAGGGTGATCAGGCCTCCACTCTCTATCTTACCCAAAATTTAACAAAGAGCCAAAAGCAAAAGCCAAACAAGCTAAGGGTTGCCCAGGGAGTCTCACCATTCAGACAGATGATCCCATTCACTCAGCTGCCCTCCTCCTGCTGTCTGTTCTGGGTTCATGTGATCCACTGCTGGTGAGCTGGCCTCTGACTCCTAGAAAGGGAACTCAGGAAATCCCAAGGGTGCCCCATTCCCTTCTGAGGAGGCTGTTGGCCACTCTCTCTGGTGGGACTTGGGTTGAGACCCAATACAGTCCAATACCCTTTCCTTCCCAGCCAACACACCAAGAAATGTTGCAGAAGGAACTGGTAAATGACACACAGAGACACAAGAGTGGGTAAAACAAACAAACATTTACTTTGCTAGCAAAGGGTCAGCCTACCCTGAGGGCTGTGCCAAATGACCAACCCTGGCCTGGGTTACAATCTGCCTTTTGTAGGAGTTTTACAATTATGACCGCATTTTAGGTAATTGATATGACCTTCCAGTTCTCTCAGTTCCCGTTGCAGATGTACAATGGAGTACTAGTTGAATCCTAAAGATAAACATCTGAACCACAAAGATGATGCTATATTTGGGTTAAAATTAAATTGTCTCATGACCATAATTTGTACATCTGGGGGATCACAATTAGGAAAGTAGGACTGGTGACATTCCTTTCATTTTAACTGCTTAATAGTGATATGATTTACAGAAAGTTTAGGGCTTAGGGTATGGCAAATGTTACCTTAGTTTGAACATCTGGTCTCACCCTGGGAATGTGGCTAAGCACCTCCAGCATCTGTTATTCTTTTTTTTTTGGTTTTTTGAGACAGGGTCTCACTATGTAGTTGAGACTGACCTAGAACTCACTATGTAGCCCAGGCTGGTCTTGATCTCACAGTGATCCTCCTGCCTCAGCCTCCCAAGTGCTCAGCATCTGTTATTCTTATAACATTTTAAACTGGGGCTACATGCCTTCAAGCTTTGTAGGTAATGATAAAACCTCTGGTAAGGACCAGGGATTTAGCTTAGTGGCTCTGCCACTTGCTTTGCAAGTGCAAGGTCCGAGTTCTATCCCTGGTACAGAAAGGAAGGAAGGGGGAGGTGAGGGAGAAACCTCTGGTATTGTTCTCCTCAGAAACAAACAAAGCAAAAGACAGCAGTTATTCTATATTTCCTTAACATTTTGTAGGTTTCAGACTATTTACAGAAGTTCTCTTTATCACCCTGATTGTAACTTTTCTATCTCCACTATTTTTTAAGCTTTTCATAATATAGACTTATGTCAACTTTTAAAATTAAAGTCACATGGTGAGATTTTATGCATGAGCCTCACTGGATGGTAGGCTGCCCAGTGAGAAACAGCAGCATATTAGAGACTTAGAGCATTGTTAGAGTCAGCCAGGCTGTCTGGGCACCTCTTTTACAGGTTGCATGAGCCAGGCAGTCACTATACCTAACTTTTCAGATACTGAGTTACAAACTTTGGCTTGGTAAAATAATAATTTTCATACATAAACTTTGAAGAAAGAAGCTTGCGAAGCAACCACAGATTTTTGGCTCTTGACCTTATCATTTTTAGAACATGCAGGTTAAAAGAAATCAGTTTTTGTAATGTTCTCTGGGGAAAAGTAGAAAATGGATCCCATGCACAGAAAGAACCAACAGGGCAACAAATGTGTGAAAAACTTGGCCAGGTAATGGAGCTAGTTGATAATGTAGCAGTACTCTGTCATGTCCCATCCTGCTTACATCAAAAACAGTGGACCTGTTGAGAGGTTGAAAACATTGATCATTCTATTTTCTGGGTTTTGCAGTTCAAGGCAGTCTTCTACAGAATGACTTTACAAGTATGTGTGGTGAGGGGAGTCTTAGCCTTTTTTTCCAGAGTAGCAATAGAATTACTAAAGATGATAAAGTATCTCCCATATGGAAAATTTTCAGTGTAGCATAACTGTGATCCCCAGTACATTGAGGATGACATGAGAAATACTTCATTTCAATATATTGTTTCACCTCGAGTCCCTTTTTTTTTTTTTTTTTTTTTTCC